TTTACCGGGTTATTGACAATTTGGATACAATCAGAGCCTCATTAGGAAACATCGTTAACACAGTCAGTCCCCAGGTACGGCCCACGTAGTCACAATGTCTAGTGTTTGTGTAGCACTTTACAGTTTATGAAGTGTGTCCATGTAAACCAACCTCTGTGACTGCTCCACTCTCTGAAGCAAGCGTTATTTATTCTGTTTATGAAAATAAAGAAACCGAGATACCTATTGGTTAAGGGACTTGCTTAAGGTCATACAGCTGGAACGTCAGTACTGATCTTTTAGTTTCACAAAGAACAACTCGGGTTCTCTAGGACCACACAGATGAAATACACCCCAGACACTTCTGTTAGGCAGCTTCCCAGGAGAGCTCTGTGAGAGACAGAGCTGCGTGTTTCCAGGAACTAACCTTGACGTTCTTTCCATCTTATCAGACGAGTTTCTTTGCAGAGGAACAATGTCCTTGTGATATGTGGCTAATGAGGACATATATGGTGCCCTGAAGCCCTTTACTGTGCGAGTGGGTGTGGGTGTGGAGGCTGATTATAAACACGCTTTTTGTGAACCCTTCTACTTCCAGGAGTATGAAGAAGTAAAGACATCTGGAGAACCTGTTTGCCTACGTGTTTCCAGTTAGTTTTAAGTAGCCCGTGGTATTTCCTTAAATCTCTGGTTCTCAGCCTTTAGATTCACTTCGAGTTTTCAAAATCCCCATGCTTCAACCCCACCTCGGACAAATGCAATCATAATACCCGCGGGTGGGAGGTGGCGTTACTGTTAGCTAAATTATTTAACCTGCAGACGTGGTGGAGAACCCCAGTCTAGATCCTCATGTGGGGTAGGGGTGGCTTATCCCATGGCCCCTAAGGGACCATGGCAGGCTCAGCCTGAGGGATGACTCTAAAACCACGCACAACCTCAGTTGGAGAATTCAGCGTTCTGGAAGGAGGCCTCATGTCCTCCAAGTGCGTTGGCTGGTTTAGATCAGTCTGTACCCAGGACCCATTAAATCAAAGTCCCAGGGGGGTGGGGCCCAGGGCTAAAACTTCTCAGGTGAGCCCAAGGTGCAGGGAAGGCTGCTTTAAATGGTGCCTGTTTTGTTTGAAAGAGGAAGTAGCAAGGCTGCCCCCATTAACCCCGCAGCACACCAGTAACCTGGCAGCAGCTGCCACACACCCAGCCTCTCCTTCAGCTGAACCAGGCAGTGCTAAGCACTGACTCCCCCACATCTAGATTTATGGCCTTGGACAAACAACAGGACCTGACCTTGGCACGGTGCCATCCACCCCAGTGCTAATTAAGGCCTAAATAATTCTCATAAGTATGTGCATAAAATAAATGGGCCTCAATTTAAGACAACTTCCCCATTGTGTTCTGGTTAATGTAAGCAGGGTTTGCAGGTTTGCATGACCATAAATACAGCAGAACCTCCATAGCTGACCACCTCTTTGAGTTGCCCTAATTTTCACAGACCAGACACGGACCACGTGTAGGTCAGTACAGCAGGCCCAGTTCCTTATGTTTACCAGTGTGTTACAGTTCCTTGGGTGGTCAACTTACAGAGGTTCTACTGTACTCTGGTTTAATTTTTTTTCTTTTCTTTCTTTCTTTTTTTTTTTTTTTTGCAATTTTTGGCCAGGGCCGGGTTTGAACCCACCACTTCCAGTATATGGGGCTGGTGCCCTACTCCTCTGAGCCACAGGCACTGCCCTACTCTGGTTTAATTTGTAACAAGGAGCAAAAGATCTTTCTATCTGGTTACCCTGCCATTATTTTATTTTTGGCTAAATAGGGGGAGCACATAAAAATTTACTTGTATGGTAATTGAGAATAACAACATGTACTTGATTTCATCACTAATCAATATGATTATTACATAGTGGCTTTTAATTTAATTATTGCTTCTTATCGTCATCAATTTCATTAAGTTTTTGGCAGGTAGGGAGGAAATAGGGCACAGATAGTGGCATGAAGGATGGTAGCTGAATGACAAGCCTCTATACCCAGAAAATGCAAAGAAATGAACTGAGCTTATTAAATAGCCTGCCGGTGCCGAGAGACCGGAGAAATATCCCTGACAGCACAGCTTTCTTTAGGAACTGCCTTGCATACTCCATACTCCATACTCAGGCCGGGACAGGAAAAAAGCACACCAGTGTATGCCTTGGCTTAAGGCTCTGGTTTTGAACCCCTGGCTGGACAAAGCTGGCTTTTACTTATTTATTTATTTTTTAGAGACAGAGTCTCATTTTGTCACCCTTGGTAGAGTGCCGTGGCATCACAGCTCACAGCAACCTCCAGCTCTTGGGCTTAGGTGATTCTCTTGCCTCGGCCTCCCGAGTAGCAGGGACTACAGGCGCCCACCACAACACATGGCTATTTTTTTGTTGTTGTTGCTGCAGTTTGGCCAGGGCCGGGTTCGAACCCGCCACCCTTGGTACATGGGGCTGGTGCCTTACTCACTGAGCCGCAGGAGCTGCCCAAAGCTGTCCTTTAATATTTAAAGAACGATCCCATAAACACACGTTTCTCATGTTCAGATTTTGAAGCATTAACAAGTGAGAATGAAAACCGATGCAACCGTTCTTTCTATCTCCCCGGGACCAACCTTGAAAGCCACCTGGATGAGCCATGGTTGACTTTAAACATGGAAGTTAGAGGAGGTTGAATTTGCAAAGAAGGGCAGTTTAGCTGAGGCCTCAGGAGCAAGACGTGGGGATCTAAGGAGCAGAGCTGGGCAGAGGCTGGGAAGTGATTAACTGGGGCAAAAACATACATAGGGCCTCTTCTGTGTAACAAGGTGGTAAGACTCGAGCTTGGGCAAGTTGGGCACTAGGACAGAGACAAGGAACAGGGCAGTTCCCAAGTCAGCAAGGTTGGATGCAGTGTGGCTACCATCGCTGGCATTGCTCCCCAAGCAGGCAGACGGTGTGCACAAGGGCTGCAGAGTGACCTTAGCGGTTTCTCTTGCAGGCCTGCCTACAAGGGGCCTGGCCCATGGCACGGTCATGGATCCTGACACTAAGGTGGATAACTTGGCGTTTGACATTTCTAGAAGGGCAGTGAAAAAGCTAAATTCCTAGGACAGCACTGAAAAGAACTCAGCACTTGCCAAACAGGATATAAAATAATGCATAATAACTATGTGAATTCTGGGGCCTACTTGAACTGAGCAGAATGAACCAGGGATTATTGCAGTCCTATCACCCCAGTAGGACCACAGAGAGCTGCATGTCCTCTCGGCAGCCCTCCAGAGGACATGCTGTTTTGAGTTACCTTATGGCGACAGAGCCCTGGAGAAAAGAGAAAGCAAAGGAATTGGTTTGGAACAACCAAATATATTTAAAAAAATTTTCTCCTTGTATTTTCAGACTGTTCCAGAACCAGCAATTCGGGCACCTGACCCTTCTCCCGAGAGTCCACAGCTACTTCAAAATGGTTAAGCTCAGTTCAACAAACCAGCAATGTTTAAAGACGTCCACTGATGTACAAAATGCAGTGCAGCCAGTAGAAACCATACCAGGAAGGCCCCCTCACAACATGTTAAAAACAGCATACTGTACAACTCAATTTTAGAAGAACTGGTTAAAAAATAAATTCATTAGTAACCTGCAGCACAGACCACCAAATTGCCAAACTGCCACCAGTAGTCATCTCTGAATGGTGGGGTGGCTACTGGTTTCTCTTTCCATTTTTGATACTTTTGTTTTTGCATTTTGCAAATTTCAATACTCATGTATGAATTTTCCTATCTGAAAAAAGCCATCATTTTACAAGGGTTCAAGTTCAAACATGGTGTGACACTGTTTTACACATTATGGTTGTGATGAAGTTGGCCAGTGAAATGCCTCTGATTTCAGGACGTTGACAAGAGGATGGTCCCAAACATTTCCCTTTGGGTCACCACTTCAAAGGGATGCTAAGTATGGGGTTCCCGAACTTAGTGGGAGGACAGTAGCTCTGTCAGTTGTATTCTTCTCTACTCTGGACAGTTCCAGGTACTCTGAAGAGGTCCTGAAGCTTCTGGAATCGGGTTTTTCCCCTCGACAGGTTCTGTTGGAACCCACAGACCAGTCTCAGGGGAGGCTCTTGGTACACAAAACACTCGCTCCCAAAGAGAAGGAGAATTGGAAACGTATTGCCAGAGAAAAAGTCTGGGGGTAAAAGTCAGGTCAGAAAATGAATTTTAATCCATACTGAAAAACAAAGTACCTGGCTAAAATTTAGTAAAAGCCCAAAGGCCTCATGAGGTAAATATTTTGCAGGGGTACCCCTTGATTTTTGTTTGTTTACCTATTTATTTAGACAAGAGTCTCACTCTGTAACCCTGTGTAGAGTGCTATTGCATCATAGCTCACAGCAACCTTGAACTCTTGGGCTGGGACTATAGGTGCCCACCACAATGCCCAGCTATTTTTTCCACTCTTTTTTTTGCTCTCTTGCTCAGGCTGGTCTGGAATTCCCGAGCTCAAGCAATCCTCTTGGGCTCCCAGAGAGCTAGGGTTACAGGAGTGAGCTCCCATGATTTTTAGCTAGGATATATGTATACATGTCAACTGCACACATAGACATACACAAGGTCCCGATAATACATAAGCAGGTACACACACATCTGACTGTATTCACCTTTCCCTGTACATATGAATAGTCATGGAGAAGCTGTGTGTTACAACCCACGATCAGAAACCAAATCCTGGAGTCCAAAGTGCCCCTCCATCCTCCCACCTCCAGGGACAGTCACCCCAGGTCACAGAGATTTCTGCACAGAGGCCCATGAAAAGTACATAAAAATGAGGAGGAGAAAAGTTAGACAACAAAACAATTCCAGGGAGAAGTTCCAGGGAAATAACACCTCTGAGGTCCCAGGCACACATGGCTTGCTGCAGGCCCTGGTCACACAGGAGACGTCGTATGTCTTGGCTTTCAGAACCCAAGAGGCGAGCAGAGTGTGTACCCAAGATTTGAGGGGGGGAGTTCTGGGGCAGGGTGGGGGAGCTACTCACGCTGTCATTGCTTCCTTTGTTGTCCTCATACTTGGTTTCTATATGAATGGAGAATTTCGGCAGAAAGGAACACTGTGGGGGAAAACCAGACTCTCATTAGCATCGTGTTTTTTCTCTCTTACACACGCAGCACATCTGGGTGCCCTCCTGGCCATTTGGTTGGGAGTGCTGTTCAGCAGCGGCATTGTTAAGATAGTAAGCCAATAACCGAATTCAGACAAGAAAAGCTGCCTTTGGGAGCTTGGACACAATTCCATCTGCAAGTTGGGCCAGAGAGAACAAACAGCCACAGGGGCAAGTCACAGAACAGGGCATTTCCTAATGGAAAATGCCCTGTAAATCCTGCCGTGTTAGAAAAGCAAACCCCTGGAACACGCCAATTCTGGGTCTGGGGACCTGGATTCCTGCGGACCCAGCCTTACCACTTAGATGAAGATGCATATAAAGTCAGGGAGGTGGGAGAGAAGAACTTTGCGATCATAGATTATTATTATTGTTTTGTTTTTGAGAAAGAGCCTCTCTCTTGTTGCTCTGGGTGGCATCATCATAGTTCACTTGCAGCCTTGAACTGGGCTCATGCGATCCTCCCGCCTCAGCCCCCCCGAGTAGCTGGGACTACACATGCCCTCCACAAGGCCCAGATAATTTTTGTATTTTTAGTAGAGATGAGGTCTCATCTTGCTCAGGCTGGTCTTGAGCTCCTGAGCTCAAGCAATCTGCCCACCTCTGCCCTCCCAGTGTGTTAGGACTACAGGCATGAGCCATCTAGCCCAAGATCATAGATTATTAAAGTCAGACAGACTTGGATTTTCCTAGGTGACTCTGAGTAAGTTATTTAACTTCTCTGACCCCCAGCAGCATTAGAACAGGAATAATAATTATTATCTAAGAGTGACATTGTGAGGATTAAATAAAATCACGTGCATAAAAATCCAGTGCTGGGCACTGAGAAAACATTGAAGGAGCAGCAGCGATCAGCATGACCATGACCAGAAAGGGCAGCCCCTTTCTGCTCCTGCATAACAGAGAACTCCAGCTCCAATGTAAAACCAGTGTCTCTGTCCTGTTGAGTCACGTTCTATGCATCTAGTCAATTTGAAGGGAAAAGGTAATTGGAGAAGAGGATTGTGATGGAGCTGGTATAACCGCACGTGAACTTTCTCAGCCACCAGAGACGGTAGGCTACTAGGTAAAGCTCTGCTGGGAGTTGCAGGTGTGGGGAAATGAGTCTGGGCCTGTTACAATCACAGTCCCAAGAGGCTAGGTTCTTTATTTATATGTCCAACACAGAGTATATACTTTGGTGTTTTTTTTGAGACAGAGTCTTAATTTGTCATTCTGGGTGACATGGCGTCATAGCTCACAGCAACTTCAAGCTCTCGGGTTTAAGCCATCCTCTTACCTCAGCCTCCTAAGTAGCTAGGACTACAGGCACCTGCCACAATGCCCAGCTAGTTTTAGAGACGGGGTCTTGGACATTCTCAGGCTGTTCTCGAACTCCTGAGCTCAAGCAATCCACCTGCCTAAGCCTCCCATAATGCTAGGATTACATGCATGAGCCATTGCACCTGGCCTACATGCGTATACTTTCTAAACCAGGCACTGCTATAAACATGTTGAAGCTCTAGCTCATTTATTCCCTGCAACCACCCCATGGGGGAGGCACTATTACTGTCGTCCCTGCTCTAAAGATTATGAAATGGATGCCCACAGGGGTTAAGTAAATGGCCCATGATCACACAGCTAGTGAACTGTAGAGTCAGGACTGAAAGCAAGGTGGCCTGGTCCCAGTGTCTGTGCTCTTGGCCTCTGATTCAGCCAGACTCTCAAAGTGGGGTTCCCTGGACCACCAGCAGCATCACTTGGAAATGTAAATTCTTGAGCCCTACCCCGACGGACAAAATTCTAGAGGTAGGGGTCCAGCAATCGGTGTTTACCACGCCTTCCAGGGTCTGCTGTCCACAGGTGGGTTGAAAAGCCACCTTGCTACGCGACTCATAGGAAGGAAACAGCTAACATCCCGAAGTTCACAAACACCCATGCCTGCCACACCTGCTCCATCCACACAGCGGTCACACTCCCCTCCCAGCCCAGCTGGGCCTCCCGGCGCCATGTGCACCAGAAACCTTGGACGTGCCACCCGTAACTCTCCTGACCTCACGTGCCTGTGTGCGTTCAGTTCATCCGTCTCAATCTCAGTGAAACGAGCAATCTGAACCGTGACTAAGGAAACACGGAAACAATCAATCCCTGTAATTGCCTTGATGGAGGATGAGGCCCTGGGACTCCTCATTAACACCTGCTCTGCCGTCTCCTCTCAAAGCATCACTCCGGGACTGTTGCCCTCACACGCGGGCCGGGGGGCACCAGGGAGGGGCTGCCCAGCTGGAAATCAAGCCCCCTTCAGGGCTCCGACTGACACAGGAATGCGGGGAGATGTCCTTGCCACCTTCTTAAAGATAACAAGCCTTCAGGTAGATGGATTTTGTACCTTTCCCCTGTACTTCATATAAGAGTCAGTACAAAGAGCTGCAGGACGACAGAGCCGAGCAGGGTGGCACGTGTCTGCGGGCAGCAGGGTGGAACTCCACGAGGCATTTTTGTCAGTTGAACCCTGAACAACTTAACCAGCCCAACAAATGAATTTCAGCATTTGGGTATTAAACCCGTATATGAAATGCAAAGCTCTCATGCAAATTAGCAGATGGTGTTATTTTTGAGACAAGGCCTTTGATTATTTTCATATCAGAATGGTGACCCTGCCCTGAGGCTGGGAGGGCACCTGACTTCAGCCAGGCGGAAGAACAGAGACCCGACAGGCCAACCACGGGCTGGTCAGTGTTTTCTCCTTCAGCAGGTGACCCGGGGCTGATCATACCCTTGGGATGTCTGATGGCTGGTCCTCAGAGCCCTGGAGGGTGCAGGTGTCTCAGAAATCAGAACTATCTCTGGTTCCTGGCCTTTTCGGAGCTATCATTAAATCTTGCCAGGGAGATGTCCGTTTTCAGGTAAACTTCTGCCTCCCCCGTGTGGGTTAGCATCTCTGAAAATCTAGCCCCCTAACCCTATCAGAGCCTTAACCGGTTTTTATTTTATTTTATTTTTGACACAGAGTCTCACTTTGTTGTCCCCAGTAGAATGCCGTGGCGTTATAGCTCACAGCAACCTCAAACTTTTGGGCTCAAGCGGCTCTCTTGCCTCAGCCTCCCGAATAGCTGGGACTACAGGTGCCCGCCACAACGCCTGGCTATTTTTAAAGATGAGGTCTCACTCTGGCTCAGGCTGGTCTAGAACCCGTGAGCTCAGGCAATCCACCTGCCTCGGCTTCTCAGAGTGCTAGAATTACAGGCGTGAGCCACGGAGCCCGGCAGAGCCTTAACTGTTAAGCGAGGTCTTTTATTTCTCCCCATTTGGCTCCCTATGTATGGTATGTCCCCCACACTGAGGTTATCTTAAACCCTTTCCCCTCTCAAGACACCCTGCCTGGCATCACTCTTCCTCCCTCGAACTCATCATTTTGATGTCTAGAGGAATGAGGACACAGACCATGTGACAGAACCCCCCACGACTTCCCTTCCCTCCATTGCATACGTGCTTATTTTCCTTATGCTCCTTAGTCTTTGGGGATCAGAGAAAGACTTTGCCTTCTTTTTCCCAAATGAAAACTAACGAACAGAAGTGAGACACTGGAGTCAGCTGACTTGGGCTCAAATCTGAGATGTACTGACTTGGGCAAATCATTTGACTATCCCCAGGCTCAAGTTCCCTGTTTACAGAAGGGAGACGATTCTTCTCTGTAGGAGTGTTCAGAAGATCTGTAGGCAAACTCCAGCCCCAGTGCGTGGTTCATAGCAGGAACACAGTACAGAAGAATTTGTTAGTTCCTTTCTGGACCTTTGTTTCATTGATTATCTGCATCTTCTCTCTGCTTCCTTCCCACAGTCTAAAACTATAGTGAAAAATGCATACCCTTAATAAGCAAATGAGCACAAAATTTCTCTGATTGTGTTTCTTCCTCTATGTATCATCAATTCCCTTTCTCTGTCTTCACAATCCCACTTACTAAAAGAGTAGTCAAGGTTCGCTGTCCCTCCCTCCCCCCCTCACCGCCTCTCTTACTTCTCAACCAGTGCAGTTTTGTATGGGAATGACTGATAATCAGAGGATTTCCAAACTAGCATCCCTTTCCCACCAGCACGCCTGACTAATTTTTTCTATTTTTAGTAGAGACAGGGTGTCACTCTTGCTCAGGCTGGTTTCAAACTCCTAAGCTCACGGGATCCTCCCCCCTCGGCCTTCCAGAGTGCTGTGATTATAGGCGTGAGCCACTGTGCCCCACCGGCCTCTTCTCTCCTTGATCCAAACCCTTTCCCTGGTGACCTTAGCTGCTTTTGAGTTTTCCAGACCATATTTTGCGAAGCCTCCCCACTCGACATTTCTAATTCTACCTTCTCTCCTCTCACATTTCCACCTGCCCACTGGCCATCCCCAACAAGGGTCTTACAGGTATACCAAATTTAAAAGGTCCACTTATTGTAGTAAATTCCATACCCTGGTGGCTTAAAACGACATCAACATAGTCTCTCACAGTTCTGGAAGCTACAGCTCTGAAATCAAGGTGTCGCAGGGCCACACTGGATGAACCATTCCTGGCCTCGTCCAGCTCCTGCTGGCCTCCAGAATTCCTGGGCTTGTGGCTGCATCACTCTAAACTCCACCTCCGTCTTCACATGACCTCTTCCCTCTGCCTCTGTTTGCTCTCCTCTTTTTATAAGGACATCAGTCATTGGATTTAGGCCCATCCTAAATGTGGGACCACTCCCCCTCTAGATGCCAGGCTTCCCCCACGGACATACAGTTTTCTCAGCCCCAAATGTTCTTCCTAAATCCTACTCACAGACCATCTGAGACTACTCCCAAATGATTATCTCATGTGGGCAGGCAGCCCCCCATTTCTCCCTTCATCATAGCACATATCTCCTTTGCCACCATTACTATTTGCCATCGAGGTACCTGGCTCACCAACCAGATGGTGAGCTCCCACACTGCTGTACTTATTCTCCTATCCCTAA